GGAGTGAGTATGTACAAATAAACGTGAGAATTCAGAACAATATTTGAGGGGCTGATAGTAAAAATGCGTTAAAAAATTCTCGGAAGCAAGAGGAAAATAAAGTACTTTTTATTCGGAAGAAGGAAACAAATGATGGTCAACGAATAAAAATGAAATGTAATTTTTTCACAGAAAAAACGGAATAAGATTTTATTGGCGCAAAAATGAGTAAGAAATTTGTCCCATTTTTGCTCGCATTAATCTTTCATTTATTTTAAATTCCGTTATAATTAGGAATTTGTTTTCTATAATTTTTTTTTTAATTCTTATGTTGAATGATCCTTTTGAAAAACTTATTTAAAAAATTATAAGGTAAATAATTAAAGCGAAAAAAATTAAATTAATTCAAAGCAATTAATTACTTTCTTAGTAATAAGTTATCGGTTTACCCTCGAAAGCTGATAGATATTTTCATTTGTTTTTTAACAAGACTATAACTTTTACATGGAAACGAATAAAAAATGGTCTTCTGGAATTATAAGATTATAACAGAAATATTTTTTTCGATTGGTGAATACTCTTACTTTCTATGCAATAAATTTCATTTAAAAAAGTGATGACATGTTTAAAAAGACAATTTCAATATAAAATAATGGCTTCAATTTGAGTAACAATATTTTATAAAATTAAATTAAACAAGACATTTTTTAACTTAAAAAATATTTTTTTATTTAAATAATTATTCAGCCAATAGATTTGTTTTAATTTAATTTTTAAAGAACTGAAATTTTTTTCAATATCAACTTTACATTATTAAAGTAAAAAAAAAATTTTTAAATAAAATGTAAAAATAAAAATTCAATATTAAAAATTTCATACAAATATTATTATGATAACACGTCGAGCAATGTAATAAAAAAATTGTAAATTCTATGGCGAATTAATTTATAAATTTTTTGACCATATATAAATTTATGTTAAAGGAAAATTAGAAAAATGAAATTTTGAATTCGGAAAAAAAAACAAATTTTGATTACGAGCAAAAGTGGGATAGACATATAACCTGTTTTTGCGCATTATTCTTTAAACAATTCGTTTTTTGTCGCGGTTAATTATTATGCCTTTTTTTCGCTTGAACATAATTAAATATCTCTTGTTCTGAGTATTTCTATAACGCATTTTTACTATCAGCCCCTAATTTATGAAAAACAATTTAAAATTTCCAGAAACTGCTGCACGCGTACCTTACAAATACATTTTTACAAAAAAAAATAATATAAATCGGGAAAATATACTAAACAATCTTAGTAAAGTCTTTTAAAAAAAAAATGTATAACTGCAAATAAAGGAGAAAAACTATGTAAAATTGCAAGAAATGTCTTATGAAGTTCGGTAGAGAAATTTCATTAAAGAATGTTAGAAAAGAAAATTAAAAATTTTTTACTAATATTCAATAATAATTAGTACGTTACTGTGCGGTTCTAAATTTCTATTCATATTTTCAAGTGTACCATAAAATATACTACTGCTAATTTGTGGTTAGGATCATTATGGAGAAACATTTTTGACTACAAAAGTTGTTAAATGATTTTTACTTACCAATCTTCTTGACACTTTTTTCCCTCGGTAATTTTACAAAAATGTACACAATGAACAAAAAGTTCGAAATTATAGAAATACTTTTTTCTATTTCACGGTCGACAATGCGTGAGGAAGTCAGAGTCAATGACCGCATCGTAATAGAAAATCGAAAATCTAACAAACCCGCATTAAATTTCAAATACTTGAAACATTCCACCAATTGCCTCCATAAAGTTAAACCAATAGAAATCAATGACTCGCTCTTCCAACCAATGAGGACAAACCTCATTGGTTTGTGAGTTTAACGTGGTTTCACTCGTGGTTTTTTTATAAGTGTGCTCGGAGGTAAGGATTAATGTGGTTAAAAGTGTTAATTACAGTAGTTAAAAATGGCAAAATTTGCTTACGTGAAAGATTACTTGGCAAAACATTGCTACACAGTTCCAGTAACAAACATCCACAAATTTGAGGATCAGGTTCAACACGATCCGACTCAAGGCTATAAAGTTGAAGTTGAAGGGAAAATCATTGTGGCATCAATAATAATTACTGCGAGTAAATACCTAATTCTTCTTCATTTTGCTTCCTACAAATTGTTTATGTATTCTTATAATTAATTATCATTTCTCTCTAACCGGTATTAAAGGAGCACGTGCAGCCTCGTGCGCGTGGTTTAGCACGTTTCAATATTTTTACCTATTTAATTTTCTTTTATTTTGTTTTTATTTATTTTTTTCATTTTTTGAAGCGCATGAATAGACCCCCATTTCAGTTTTTCGAATATGTATATTACAGAAATCCATTTTAATGTAACGAATAAAACACAATTTGTAAAAACTGTAATGAGCAGTTTATTATACATAATTAAAATTTATTCGAATAATTCCTTGATAAAATTTTTATTGCTTCAAATTGTCATTCACAAGAATTTTGATATTATCGAATTAGCATTTTTCATAATTTTTCTTTTTCTATAAAATTAAAAACATTCTCTGAAGTTAGATTAATTATTTTGCATTTAAAATAATTTAAAGAATTCCTTAATTTATTATTAAATTTTATGTTTTCCGAATTTTTATTTTAATGAATTGTTTAATATTATATTCCTTTGTTCCCAAATTGCCATTTGACTGAATTCTTTATCCTTCATTTATCCTTGGTTTTGTTTCGCCAAATATTTATTCTTTCGAATCATCATCAACCTTAATTGGAAGATCGGAATTCTTTTTAACGGATTTCCGGTTGAAAGTGGCCCGAAATTTTAAAACAAACTTTTCTATTTGCCTTTTTTAAATTTCAAGTCTGTTTTTTGAAAGTTGAACGGAAATTCTTTGGAACAATGACAATTTAGTACAATATTCCAATTTGGGCTTCTAATGATTCGAGAAATAAATATTTGATAATACAAAAATTAGGATAAATGAAAAACAGGTCAAATGGCAATCGGGAAAAAAACTAATTCGATTAATTAAAAAATAAAAATGTAATCATAAAAAAATTATTAAAAATGCTATGTCGATAGAATAATCAATATGTGAAATTATAAATAATATTAAAATTAGTATTAATGACAATTCGAAGAAATAAAAATTAACCCCATTTTTGATAACCAAAAAACATCTGTAATTTGATTTTTTATGAAACATTGAAATTAACACCTTCTTAGAATTATCTAAATCCTTGATGTAGGACGGAGAGGTCTTTAGTTTTCAGATCAAGGGTTTCCATTTAACTTGAGATGGTAATTACTCAGAAACTAAGCCTATAAAAAAAATTGCAAGATGACTTTTTGATTTGTTATTGTTTTCCTCTTCACTTTTCTAATATATTCTCTTGAGACAGCGACACGTTGTACATTTTGTACTTACATGTATATAATATATTTTTTTTATTAAAAACAGCTTAATAGAACTGGACTTGTCGATCCGGAATCGTTTAGGCGCAGTGAGGGCTTAAGAAGACCTCTGACTTCTATTTCAAACCTCATTAATATTGAAACAAGTACTGATGACAAGTCTTTCCATCCACCTATCTCCCAGACAAATGTTGGTCATGGACCAAATATTATGAATGTCATGGTAAAAAACTATATTAAATTATTACAAAAATAATATTGAACTGTAAGTAAAATTTATTTTTCGTTTACAGATTACTGGGGGAAATGATGACGGTGAAAAGAAATTAGAGACAGCGTCAACGAGTAATGGAAAGTCTTCTCATCCACCTATTTCTGAGAAAAATGTTGGTCATGGACCAAATATTGTAAATGGAATGGTAAAAAAATTATTAAATTATTTTAAACATTTTATTTTACTCCATAAAAAATTTATTTTTTATTTACAGATTAATGGGAGAAGTGATGACAGGCAAAATAAATTACAGAGTCTCAACGAGTAATGAAAAGTCTACACAACCACGTTGTACATTAAAGACAAATATTGACCATGGACCAAATATTATAGATAGAATAGTAGGAAAAGATTCTGAGAAGGATGGTGACCATAACATAAGCTCAAATTAAGAAGTGGATTTTTAAAATCAATTAAAATATAATTAATATTGAAGATCACAAATTTTCAAGTGTCCTTAGATGCAATTTTTAGAAAAAATTAATTCGACTTAATATTTATTTCTTATAGCGTTTATTAAACAGTTTGTGTTTTTTCTTACGGATCAGTGAAAAATTGCAATTTCCATCCGATTTTAATTCACGAAGACTTGTTTTTTTTCTCTCCAAGATTCTATTTAATCGTTCACTTTTTAACTGCAATAAAATTATTTAAGTCAAAAGTTATTGAAAAATTGTTTTTTGATTTTTAAATAATTTTTGAATCAAATAATTTTATTACAATTAATAAGATAAAGGTTAAAAAGAATCTTTCATTATAATAAACCAGCGTGCATCAAAATCGAATGCAAATTGCGATTTTTCTCCGAAATATCAAAAAAAAACACAAAATGATAAATAATCACTTTTTAATAGAAAAAATTGCTCGACAAATTACTTTTTTCTGGACATTGCATCTATGAAAACTTCAAAATTTGTAATGGTCAATATTAATTATATTTTTATAGATTTTAATAAGTATTTCTTAGTTTGAGGTTATGCAGATGTATGGTCAGTTGACTGAAAGAAGACATTTACTAAATTTTAGAAAGGGTAAAATAATTTTTGACATAAATATTTGCATTTTAGGGAAAACGTTTAAAAATGGAAAATATTAATATAAAGTATACCAAACTTTAGAAACTATTTATTAACTTTAATATAATTTATATTAAACTCAAACTCAAACATTAGTAAATGTAACTTTGAAATAAATTATATATTTAAGTTCGTAAATAAGTTCTAAAGTTCGCTACACTTTATTTATTAATATTTCCTATTTTTACACGATTTCCCTAAATTGCAAATATTTATGATAAAGTTTATTGTTACCTTTCTAAAATTTAGAAACTGTCTTCTTTCAGTGACACTTCTTAAATTATCACAAAAATTCTATTTTACTCCATCTAAAATTGAATTTGGTTTACACAATGAAAGAAGGAATGATGAAGGCGGCAAGAAATTAGAGAGAGCAGAAAGCCAGATGGATATGAAAAATTCAATAATCATGAAAATGAAAAAGCAGCTACAGACGGCCAGTGAAGAATATGGAAAATTAAAGAATGTTTTACAACAGAAGGAAGAAGAATATTACGAGATGAAGGAAAAACTAACAAAAACTGAAGAAGAATTGCATTACGTCAACGACTTAAATAGAAAATGGCAAGCGAAATATATGAATAAATACGATGATATACATCGTTTGTTTGAAGAGTGGAAGCAGTCTTCCCAAAAAGAAGCCGACCACGATGCAACTCCGGTTAGGTTCATCAAAGATGACGGAAAAACTGTAAGTATAATTCACACAATACCGGTCACACTTGTGGGACCACCCATTTTTTTAAGGCCACAAAACATCTTAAAACGTAAAAAGCATCATAACTGAAATTTCTCTTTCCTTATTTTCCAAAAGGTGATAAAATTCTAAAAAGATTGAGACCAAAAGGAAGTAATTTTGTTAATAAAATTTTATTAAAATATCACCTCCTTAAGATTCTGTTAATCGAATATTAACAAAATTACTTCTTTTTCGTCTTAACATACTAAGAATTTTATGACCTTTTAGAAAATGAGGGAGAAAAAATTTTAGTTTATACGTTTTACGTTCTAAGATGCTTTTTGGTCATCAAAAGATGGGTGGCTCCACAATTCTGATCGGCAGTATACTTCTGTATAAATGTTATTTTTAAGTTTAAACTTGTGGATTTAATGTTTTGTAATAAAAAAATCGAATTGTATTTCAGATGCATATTGGGCGTGGAATCTACTTGGATAAAACTTTCTACACATTGGCTGCAACAGGAGTCACGGTGAAAAGCAAACGTAAATTTGTACGTAACATAATGATTATTGTGTTTGGTTATGACACTCTAGCTAAAAGTACAGTCACTGGGCGACCAAGTAATCTGCAAGAAAAACCAAAGAAACCAGACGCACTTGATCACCAAAAGTTATTGGCTATAAGAGGTAACAATTGCATTGTGCACAATATTTTTTAACACAACGTTACATTTAAAGGATTGTCCATATACCAGGTGGACAGTTTTAGGGGGCGGGTGTTTTAACCCTTTCGTGCCTCCGGTACATATATGTACCACTTACAAAATTTGATGTAACTCTTACAAATTTAACCCAATCAGTAATTCCAATGGATAGTTTTATTGACAATCGTTATTACTATATGTTAAAAAATAGAAAACAGTATAATGCAGTTATAATTATTTTAAACAATAGGTACAACATTGATAAAAAATTAACAAAAGTTATATATCAATAATGTTAAGTCATTCATTTAGGCTTCATCCGTTTTTAACAACACATTGACTTTTAATATTTTCGAGGTCGATGATTACGAAACTGGAGTCAGATTTTCAAAATGCAAAATGGCGGATCCAATATGGCGGTCGAATATCCAAAATTTTATCTGTTCTCTTCAAATTCGTCACTCGGGGGTTTTTGGGGTCGCTGATTACGAATCTGAAGTCAGATTTTCAAAATTCAAAATGGCGGATCCAATATGGAGGAATAAATTTCAAAATTTCACCGACTTCCCTGAAAACTCTTCACTCGGGGGTTATTAAAATTATTATTTTATTAAACTAATTATATTGGAATTATTAATTTTATTTTAATCACCATCTTAAAATTATATTTAATTAATTTCTTTCATATTACAAATTTTTGTATTTTGTCATATGTAAAGCTTACATCGATTTTAAAAATTTCTCGCGACTCACATGATAATGAAATTCATCCACCTTGTTAAAATAGGGTTCTTGGCGAAGGTTCACTGTAAAAAAAACCTAACGCGCCTTATTCGGAACCTCTTAGGTGGTGTGGAAGACTGTCACCGCTGCAAACAATTGATTTGAAAGTGAGAAAAATTTAAGAATTTCTAAAAATTTTTTGAACAAACTCGATCCGTCATTTTGAATTTTGAAAATCTGACTGCAGATTCGTAATCAGCGACCTCAAAAACCCCCGAGTGATGAGTTTTAAGGGGAACAGATAAAATTTTGAAAATTTGTCCGCCATATTGGATCCGCCATTTTGAATTTTGAAAATCTGACTTCAGATTCGTAATCAGCGACGCCAAAAACCCCAGAGTGATGAGTTTTAAGGGGAACAGATAACATTTTGAAAATTTGTCCGCCATATTGGATCCGTCATTTTGAATTTTGAAAATCTGACTGCAGATTCGTAATCAGCGACCTCAAAAACCCCCGAGTGATGAGTTTTAAGGGGAACAGATAAAATTTTGAAAATTTGTCCGCCATATTGGATCCGCCATTTTGAATTTTGAAAATCTGACTTCAGATTCGTAATCAGCGACGCCAAAAACCCCAGAGTGATGAGTTTTAAGGGGAACAGATAACATTTTGAAAATTTGTCCGCCATATTGGATCCGCCATTTTGAATTTTGAAAATCTGACTGCAGATTCGTAATCAGCGACCTCAAAAACCCCCGAGTGATGAGTTTTAAGGGGAACAGATAAAATTTTGAAAATTTGTCCGCCATATTGGATCCGCCATTTTGAATTTTGAAAATCTGACTTCAGATTCGTAATCAGCGACGCCAAAAACCCCAGAGTGATGAGTTTTAAGGGGAACAGATAACATTTTGAAAATTTGTCCGCCATATTGGATCCGCCATTTTGAATTTTGAAAATCTGACTTCAGATTCGTAATCAGCGACCCCAAAAACCCCCGAGTGATGAGTTTTAAGGGGAACAGATAAAATTTTGAAAATTTGTCCGCCATATTGGATCCGCCATTTTGAATTTTGAAAATCTGACTTCAGATTCGTAATCAGCGACGCCAAAAACCCCAGAGTGATGAGTTTTAAGGGGAACAGATAACATTTTGAAAATTTGTCCGCCATATTGGATCCGCCATTTTGAATTTTGAAAATCTGACTTCAGATTCGTAATCAGCGACCCCAAAAACCCCCGAGTGATGAGTTTTAAGGGGAACAGATAAAATTTTGAAAATTTGTCCGCCATATTGGATCCGCCATTTTGAATTTTGAAAATCTGACTTCAGATTCGTAATCAGCGACCCCAAAAACCCCCGAGTGATGAGTTTTAAGGGGAACAGATAAAATTTTGAAAATTTGTCCGCCATATTGGATCCGCCATTTTGAATTTTCAAAATCTGACTTCAAATTCGAAATCAGCGCCCCCAAAAACCCCCGAGTGACGAGTTTCAACAATATCTATAAGCTAGGTTGCCCGGGGCACGAAAGGGTTAAAGCTAATGTCCACATTGACCTACAAAAAATGTTGTTTTAATAAGATTTCAAATTACTTCTGGAACAATGATTATTTTTTAAAGTTCTTTATCTCATTTAAAAGCCTATTAACTATAGAATTGACATTACTTATAAGCATTAACGTGTAATTTTTTCCTTGAAAAATACAAGCCGTGAAAATGGCAAAACACGCATTTTACACCAAAAAGTGCACACGTGCAAGTTGCACGTCAATGCTAAAGAGTACTATAAATTCTATAGAAAGTTAGCTTTAAAATAAGCTCAATATTCTCAATATTCTCAGAACTTTATCACCTTTTAAAAAATGAGGGAGAAGAAATTTTAATAATAATACTTTTTTACATTTCAAGATGTGTTTTGTTCATGGGGGGAGGGGGTAAGAAGTAATTGAAAATTATCCACGTGGTATGTGGACGGCCCCTTATTGAATTTTAACATTTAATTTTAATTTATTATTTTAAATCGAGACGCATAATCATTCCCAAAATGTGGTTCACTAAAAATTAATGTAAAATACGTATTTTTAGATATTTACGCATTCTTTTTAAAAGACACTTTCAATCTAACAAACTCTGAGGCTGAAATTGAAGCAAATAAATATACTGACATAATGTCTAAAAAAATTTCTTCCTTGAAAGACATACAGAATAGTGAGTAAATAATCCTTTAAATTCATGTAAAAATTAAATTACTTGTTTCTCAATGATATATTGTTCATTTCAGAACCTGAAAAACCTGTGAGAAAAACACTAGGAAAAAATAAACCAGATCCTCTACAAATTGACGGAAATTTGGAACAGCAAAGCCTTAACGATAATAATAATATTCTTTAAGACAGCCATCAAGACAATATTCGAGAAAATCATCAAGCCGATCCTCAAGACAAAGTTGAAGACGATCTCGAAGACAATCTTCAAAAAAAATTGAAGCTATTGTCCAAGCCAGTCCTCAAGCCGATCTTCAAGACGAAGTTGAAGACGATCTCCAAGACGAAATTGAAGTCGATCATCAAGAAGAAATTGAAGCCGATCTTTAAGACGAAATTGAAGACGGTCTTCAAAACGAAATTAACGAAAATTAAGTTTTTTTATTATTAAATTATACGATTGTTAAGTTATGTATAATTATTTTTATGAGTACAAATATGGCTTATAAAAAAGCTGTTATATACGAATGTAGATCTCAAATTATCTTTCATTATATTTATGAATAAAAATATTTTATTTAAAACATCTGTGTTAAGTTCTTTACTTTTATGTTTACAATATACTTCAAATTACTTAAAAATAAATACATAGTATTAATTTTAATCTTTATTTAAGTAGTCATTTTTACTACATTTATTTCTATACCATTAAAAAGCATTAATTTTGCACCCATTCAATATATTTTAATTCCACTATTTCATACATTTCATTTTAATACATTTAAATACTTTTTTCTATACTAATTAATTCATCAAGTATTAAATTGCATTAAACAGTAACTTTCTTTTTCACAACTTTTTGAATTAAAAGACCATGCACAATCAGGGATTAAAATGTTTTAAAACTTTGAATACTTTTTAATGCCTGCCTTCTTACCGGGTGTGCAGGCAGCCGGAGGTGTGCGAGCGCCTTAATTTTTCAGAATTAAACGGTTTAAAACTGATTTTAGTTTACGCTGTTGGTATAACAATTCAAGTGTAAACATTTTCTACACTAGATTTTCAAAGAATTAAATTGGATAGAAATGAAAACAGTAGTTTTACCAGAAAATAAATTGAAATGAAACTGGACAAAAACGAAATTTGTTTGGATTAAAGTGTGTTCGGGCCATCGGGAGACAAGAACTGAAACATTTCCTTCTTCGAAGGACATGACTAAATGCATTAGACCTATACGATTTTATGTCCCGTCTTAAAGTGACAGACTAGTCTCTTAATGCAAAATGGTATTTGATTTGGCGTGGAATACATCATAAATATTACATAAATTTTGATAATTTTTGGAATAAAAATTATAATAAACACTATTTTGAATGCCAAAGCAAATATTAATATCATACGAACTCAAGTATTCTATTGTGTGTTATCACACAGGAGCAAGCCTTCTTATACATTTCAGATGTAGTGAGCGACAATTCTGGTGTGTCTTCATGGTTCATAATTACTTTTAATTTATATCTGAAGGAGAATTTGAATTTTATGAGAAAATAGTAAAAATCCTATTGTGCAAAATATTCCAATACAGAATACAATGCAAACTAAATGTTGCATACCTTAATACTTTAAACATTCCACAAGCATGTTGAGCAAAAGCGAAAAGGAGTAAATCACAGCATATTACTGTAAATACACCATATGACCCCGTAATATATAGATGAACAGTGGTCCAAAAAAAATAATCTTTTTTGTCAAAAAAGTAATAATCTAATTCTATAAGAATTGGTATGCTACGTGAGACATTTAATGGCTTGATTTTATTTAGAACTAATGGCGTGCATGTAACTACCAAGTAGGATAGCGTTGTCGATAATGTATAACCTGAAGAAAGCAATCATATAAGTTTCTAAAATTTTCAATTTAAAATAATATAATTTACTTGTTTTAAAACAAGTTGTATATGTATATATTTCCTTTCGGAAATACACTCGTGTAGAAATTTATCGTGGAAGTGTATGAGAAACTGTCCAGTTGTGCTAGATTCAACCTAGCATCTAGATGGGAAAACTGGACAGACTTGAACATGGGATGTAACGCTAGCAACGTCAAGATTTTGTACAGGTCTTCTGTCTAGTCCTTGTCTAGTAAAATAAAGTGATTCTAGCCAGTTCCACGATAATAAAAAAGCAGTTTCTACATACATAGAATATAATTGATATTTGTAAATATAAAAGAATATTTTTCAATTTTACTCTTTCGTTTGTTTAACATAAATTATATTACAAAAGTATTTTTTAATAACAGAATTCCTCTTACAATTATTTTTAAAATTGATTGTAATACATTTTTGTTAAATTGGATTTTTTCTTTAAAACACATTTCCCTGCTGGAAGTAAAGAGATAGGAATCTTATCACTTTTTATCTTCTTTTATATCTGAGATAGAAAGTGATAGAAAAATTGTAAAACTTTTAATCTCTGGTTTATATACTTCTATCGCTTTCTATTTCCTTTCTATTTATTGAGATTTTTTTCGCTTTTAATCACCTGTTTTAGATAACTTTTAATCTTCGTTCTATAACCTTCCATCTCTTTCTATCTGGTTTCTTATTATCCACATTTCTTTCGCTTCTAATCGACGTTTTTCTATAACTTTTAACCTCCGTTCTATAACTTTCTATGTCTTTCTATCTCCTTTCTTATTATCCACATTTCTTTCGCTTTCAATCACCTGTTTTCTATAACATTTAAAACTCCGTTCTATAACCTTTTATCTCTTTCTATCTCCTTTCTTATTATCCAAATTTCTTTAGCTTTTAATCACTTTCTATCTCTTTTTATATTCTCTATTTCCCCAAGTAGTTCGTTGAATTCTTTTTATATGAGAAACTGGTATCGCATTGTCAGAAATTTCGCTAAACAAATTTAATAATATAAAGGTATTGCCATTTATAAGCTGAAACTCTGTAATTTCACCAATTTCATTAGACATTAAAACGACAAATGTGTCATTTGTTTTAGGGGTTCTGTTGTACTTTGTACTATGGAACATTGTAGACTTGTATATGCAACGTTTAAACAGTTTTTCACTTTTTTCATTTTCTCCCAAAGTGTCCAGACGTACTATTTCTTTACTTTGTTTGACAGCATTTTTACATTTAGAATGAGAGAAAATATTTCCGCAAAAATTAAGACACTTTTCAGACGTTGCAAGTTTTTTGAGAGTATAATCAAAACTAAGTTTTAATAATGTTCGTTTTGCTATCTGAACAAAAACCCCTTTAGGTCCAGTAACTGCTTGTTTAAGGTAGAAAATTGCACCTTCGAAAGAAAAGGTTGATGTAGTCCATAAAGGTCCTGTTCTACGTACTGATTTAACTAAATGTAGTAGGCTATGAATGTTAAAGGTCATAACGCTGTTGCCAAACATCTCCTGCAATTTAGCAACGAAAATGAGCAATTGTTCTTCACATATTCTTAATTCTTCTTCAGATATAGAATCCTTTAGTAGAATAAAGATACTTTCTACGAGTAACGCATAGTGATTTAAAACTTCCGCTGGAATTAGATCTTTCAAACATATAACAGAGTAAAATAACAAAAAGGATCGCCATTCCGAAGCTTTCCATTTTGCTTTCTCATTTATTGGTCTTGGTTGACGATGAATTTCTTGAGGAGGAGTCATTTGCAAAAGTTTTTCATTTAACTTCTTAAGGTTCCCTGTAGTTATAATATTTAATTAAATCCAAATATTAAATATATATTTCACTACGCCTAGAAGTACTGCATGTAAATAATCGACAGGAAATCCCCATACTATATCGAATGTTAATAAGAAAAGCAGGACAGAAGTACCTTTTATTCCAGGTATTGTTGGTTTTTTGAATTTGAATTTGAATGTTATTTGAATCCCCTTTTCAGCTAAAAGTTCCATTTGATTTACGAAAAGTTGCATGTAAGAATTCATAAATTTCCATGTCGGCTCTTTTTTATTTGTGCTCAAGCCAGCAAGAATGGGATATTTGAACCGAAGTTTGGGTGGCAATTCTTGAACGGTAACTTGCAGTGGCCAAAATGATTTTTTGGCACTATTACACAAAGGAGCACCGTCTGTATTAAAATTCAATGTTATGAAATCGTTTTCAGGATATTTTCTTTGTATTTTTTTATACAATAATCCGTCATAGACATCCTTTTTTTACCAGAATCATTTTTACGTAACATTATATCGCGAATGTTCTTTAGTAACCCAGTTTTTATTTCTTCATCTTTAAAAAGAACTTCAAGTTGATATTTTAAATCTACAGCAATCACGTAATTTGATGATTCTGTTGTCAAGTTATAATCTAACCCACACGTACACTTAATATTACAATTTAAAAATTTTTTTTTTTAAATTGGTGGCATTAATGTCTTAAAACATTTTTCACATATAAAACATAACGTAATTACTTCATCAGGTGGATCGTATAACTGATTCATTACGAATTTACTGGTGTTCTAATTTTGAAATTCATCACCAGCAAATTGTTTACACATTTCAAACAATGCATCTCGGGCTTCATACGTACAATGAAATCGAATACTATAAGCCATTATCATTAATGATACATCACGAGTAGTTAATTGAGCTTTAGGAAACATTATGACGTGACTCATTTTTTTTTACTGCATTGTAGCAGATTCAGTCTCTATTACACATTCATCACTTTCATAACCATCTTCATAATCGCTCCAATCATTATCGCTGGTATCACTTGAAGAACTGGAAACGAACCCTTGTTGCTCTTGCAACGTATTTTTAAATGCATACTTTCGTATCTCACATTCTTGTTCTAACGAAGTAGTCATTTCAAAGGGCACATCTGAAGCCATCTGGAAATCCAATGAACAGTTGTCACAATCTTTATAATCGTTCCAATCATTATCACTGGTATCACTTGAAGAACTAAGAACAAACCGTTGGCGGTCTGCCGTGTTTTCTAAAAACTTAGGTAACTGCAAAAACATCGAAAAATGAGTTTTTTATATCGTTGGAATCGTGGAAAAAAGTTACACCTGTTAATGCAAATTATTTTTAAAAATTGTTAATATTATTAATAATAATTTTTGCATAAATAATTGAAAATACCGGTAACTGCAAAAATTGATGAGTGGCAATTTAAGAAACTTAGGTAACTGCTATAAAAACTGGGGTGTCTTTGGGTGTTATGACGTATTTTGTAGGTCGTGATTTGAAGAACTTAGGTAACTGCACAGTGCCTTAGTTTCTCAAAACACGGACCTCACTTTTCGAGCCCTCGTCGCATGGAAAACTTAGGTAACTACAGAGTGCTATCAGAGCACTGTAGTTATAGTTTAATATTTGTAAGAAACAATAATTATAATGATAACTTCCACATCTTATTAAATAATTACACTTTATTATTTATTTATTTTTTTTATTTATTTTTATATTATTTTTATTTTATTTTATTTCCTATAATTATTTAATATATTTTTACTATTTTTTAATTTAATTTTATTTATTTTTTTAATTTTATTTATGTATTTTATTTTATATTATTATTTAAAACACTACCGTCGGAAATTGTCGGTACGATTGACGTGCGCGGGATGAAATGTTGATGTCGCACCTAAATTAAGATATTTTAAGTTTGAGAAAAGGTAGAGACTTGAAACTTATTGTTAGATCACCTGAAAGCTGATAAAATTCTGCTTCTGAATATATACCTAGAATTTTTTTTCGACTTTCTGGAGCGATTATAACACTGGAAAGATTTCGAAAAAAAACGTCTAATTTTCCCAATTTCGTACCCAGTTTTTGATTCCCTGCATAATCTAGGAAAATGTAAGGAAAAATTTGTAACTCCTATAACATAATCTTTAAGATCTTAGCTTTAAAAGTAATTTTTAAGACTTAAAAAATATTGTTTCGTTTTTAAGATAAGTTGAAAAATGTCAGAGCATGTTTTTTACACAACTCATCGTCAAAGATTAGTTCTTGCATCCCCGCTGCTTCGCCCGTTCCTTGCGCCAGGGCCGAATATGCGTGCGGGCCCCTGCTTGAAACCCGTCTTGTATTTTCTTACATTTACAGTTGAAGGGTAGAATGACAAAAGGGGTCAAGCGCCAATTCACTGTTTTTACAGGAAGTAAAAAAAACATTTTTTAAAATTTTGCAGGTCATTTAAAAAAAAACTGAGAAAACCGTTTCGATATATTAGTATGTTTTAATAAATAAACAACAATTTGTTGAAATAAACCTACATATTAACGATAAAATTAAAAAAAACTGTGGTTCCTTGAGGTTATATCAACTGCGCACATTTTCTTTAAGCATTAATTATAAAAAAAATATACAGTTTAAAGAAAAACTGGAAAATTAGTTTCTTTCTATGGAATCGACGAAATGAATAGAAAAAAAAATTCCTTTAAAAAATTGTTTGTTTTCAAGAAAATTACGAATTAATTGCTTGCTTTGGAATTGAACAATACTTTCATCTTTAAATTCAATTGTTCAGTTATTATAACCATAAAAATATTTAAAAATTAATAACAAAATGATTTTAAAATTGTTTAAAATTGAAAATACATTATTATTATTATTAATTTTATTAATTAAAATATTATTAAAATAAAATTAAAATAAAATATTAAAATAAAACCTAAAAAAATAATATTTTTTTTTATTTTGATAATATTATTGACTCACCACTTTCTTTTGTTTTTCAATCAGGTTGCAATAAAGTAAATTTGAGGCTATTTTATTCATTTAATTTTTATTAAAAACTGATTTAAATACGCAATAAAAAAAGGAAATCCTTCTACAGAAATGTGTAAATGAATTTTCTTGATTTTTTAATGCAAAAACCTCATTTT